ATCAAGGGCTCAAAATATATTATTAAAAAAAAAAAAACGCCGATATAGATTCCTATTGCATTAGTAGTTTAGTTACTATACCTATTTCTCAAGTTTCGATTCTCGTCCATCAACTTAAGAACCATTTCAGTAAGTGAAGAAAACGGTGGTGTAGGTCCAGCTTTGTTGACATCTTCTATCTATTTTTTTTTCACATACCGAAAAATAATTAAGATAATTAGTAAATGCATGAGAAGCTGAAAAATTAAACCAAAAAACACGATTTCGTTTATTACCTTGACAAGCATGTTCGAAGGCTGAGCATCTTGTGGTGGAAACATTGATTCAGGCGCCACTCGTAATGGAGAAGAAGAAGACGAGGTGTTATGATTTACAGCTGGCTGTGCCTCAAACCGATTTCTCTCTCTAACAACAGGCGATGATTTTTGGCCCTTTTTGCCGTTCCATTTCGGGGCCGACGTTGTATTATGTGTGGAGTTCGACTTATCGTCAGCATTAGGCGGTGATGCTTCTTCTTTCTCGGGGGAAACGGGCTTCTTTGAGTGACGCCTTTGAGCGTAACCAATCAGGTGGCAATTTGTAGACCTGTTAAATAAATTATATATTTTTTTTCCAAATCAGTAAATTATATATATTCACTAGATTATAAGAAAAATAAAAATAAATTGAAAAAAGGAGAACAAACCAATAAGTCTTCTGCAAATGTATCAGTCTAGCCTCGAGTCTAGAAAGCGCAGTTGTGCGCTCAAATCCCTGTTTATCGTGTGCCGGCTCGACAAAATTCGCTTCCAAAACACCTTAAAAAAATACGTAAAGCGAGAAATATATACGATGTAATTATCGTTTTTTTTAAATCCACATGATTATATTTTATATAACAAATGTAAATCGAAATACTCGTAAAAATAATACCTATGACTCCTCGACCGTCACTTCCCGAGGCGTTCCACAGCCTCCAAAACGGCTGATTTTACAAAAATAAAATAAAATAAATTATATTGATTACGAAAAAATTAAAGAAAAATAAAGAGAGTAGAAAGTTAGAAACAAAACTAACCCTAATAAGTCTGTTCTTATGATATACATTGAACCCTTGAACATCAATATGATGTCCTGCATCTTTAATAAATCCAAGTGTTACAGCTGCAGACATCTGTTGCAACAATATAAGATTAAAAAATATATAATTAATTAAATAATTATGGGCCCGTTTTTGCGTATAGCACGAAAGATTAGAGGGTGGTAAAAAAATACTAATTAATATTTTTAATTACATTAGGATCTTTGGATGATGCACAAGCTACCGGCTTGTAAACATGCTTTTGAGGGTGAATCAAATCATCAACTATGTCGTGATATTCGACTTCCTTTCCTCGTAAGATGATCGAGAAACCAGGTGGAATCCTACGGTACAAAATCGACGCATAGCTCTGTAAAAAAAATTAAACATGTAATAAAAAATTAATTAACGACGTTTATAAAAGAAGGAAAAACAAATTAACGAGAAAAAACGAGTATTATATCTGTACCCGCAACGAGTGTCGATAAGTAAGAAACCGCCTAGAGCTTGGGTGGTCATTTGCTATTGTCATTAACTTCTTGTCATCTCTGTTGCCAGCTCTAGTTTGAATGTCCTGAAATAAAATAAAATAAAAATTATAAATATGAAAAATAATTAAATAGTATTCGAGTATGAAAAAACGTACATTTTGATCGGCCTCGAAATCGAGTTCTAGTAATCCTTCGTCGTCCTCCCAGAGATTATAGATTACGATACGTGTTCCTTGATCTTCCAAGAAATTAAACTAGACAAAAAATTAAGCATACAATTAGTTAATAGAAGTTATAAGCTATAGTCGTAATATAATAATATATATATCAAACTTCGGAAAATCGAAATAGTACCTGTCCTACGAGTTCTTCTTCGCTATCATACGGAGACCATTGCACGACGGTTTCAAGATTTCTTTGCCAGCATTCGTCGGATGATTTCAAACGCTTGTTCCATGTTTCTCCCGTTTTCTCATAATCGACCTAAACAATCAAATAAACCACATCATAAATCCGTGCAACACGTTTTCCTATATATATTATTTACGTATTTACAGTTTGTCCATAAGAATAAATTGTTAATAGACCAGCAAATTAAACTCACAATCGGAACTATTATATCTTCCTTCCCGGTATTCTGCAAGAACGTAAACGACAGCAATCCGATGCTTTGTGTTGTGCTACAAGGCAAAAAAATATATATAAACATCGATAAATATAATCGCCCCATATTTCGATTGTCATTAAAAAATCGGAAAAAAAAAAAAAAAAAAAAAAAAAAAAAGGAAAAGTACCTTAGCCCGTACTTGCCCCGAAAGCGCGAGAAAACAATCACGTCTGCTCCGAGCCTCATGCTACTAGTCTTGAAACCATTTCCATCTGTCGAA